TTCATTAAATTTCAAAATTATTTAACTTCTTTTTTATTTTAAGTTAACCATCTCAGTTAATCTCAACTTGACTTGGCCTTATACAATTAGTAATAGCAGCCAATCACTAGAGTCTATTCTATTACAGTATCCAAAATATTCAAGCAAATTAGATAATCAAACATTATGTATCTTAAACAACTCTATATTGCAGATAATAACACTTTACTTAACTAGAAATATCTTTCACCAAAATTATTATATTTATCTAAAGGCAGAAAACCCTTCTGGTTCTCTTACTTAGAAAATACAATCTTAACACACTCTTATTATTAAAATATTTTATCATATTACCAATCATCAGGCTACAACCCTTATGCTTATTATACTATTAATATATCCAAAAAACTTACTAAATCTAAACTCTGATTACTCTCATACTATAATAATGAAATTATTATTGGGAAAATACAAAAATATTTTTTATCTTTTAACTATTACTCTATTATTTATTGGACCTCTAATATAGACTTAAACTACATAAGATTTTATCCTTTACCTTCTGTCAGCTACAAACAATATATAGGAGCCATTTTAATTTTTATAGAATTAACTAAACCTGTACTGTTGAAGTTTCTGCAATTATTTCTGCACAATTTCTTGGCAGAACTAACTCAAAGCATCAACTTAACTTCAATGCCAATTACTTAGATCTTATCTGCTCTACAGTTGTCAAACATCCAACTTACATTTCTTCTTTATCTAATATTTCTATTATCAACTCTATCATCTCTAAAATCTTTATTTCAAGTAAATCTAATAATAAACTTATATCTATTTCACATTACAACCTCTCTTACCAACAACTATCTTTCTATACCAATGGATCCATAATTGATATTGGTACTAACCAATTCACAATAGGTGTTGGTTGGATCCAAGTTGATAATAATAATCAAATTATTAATTTTTTTTCTACTAAAATTAAATTTTGGCCTTTATCTTACAAAACAGAACTCTTTTCAATTATCACTGCAATCTTAACTGCTTTTTGAAACTGTATTATTAATATTTTTACAGACTCTCAATCAGTAATTTCTAAATTTAATAATCTTCAACTTAAGTAATTTACTCTAAAAAGTTACTCAAATTTAATTCATGACCAATTTGATATATTCTTTTAAACATTATAAAATTATACAAATTACAAATTACTTTTCATAAAGTACAAGCTCATTTAGATAACTATCTCAATGAGTACACAGACTCTTTTACTAAACAACATCTAATATCATTACTTCTTTTATTTAACTACACAAATTTTTATAACCCTTATCATATTCTCTAATAGAAACACTATTATGTAGAGTTTTCTATAAGGCATTTCATTAAACAAATTTATAAAACTTATATCTTAGCTATATGGACATCACAAAAATGAAACAGTAAGTGGTCATACTACAACCAAGACATTGAATGGAGATCTACTTGGCTTTATTTCAATCACAATCAAAAATGCTCATACAATATTACTAACTTTAGACTTAATTAACTAAAATCTTTTAAAACAAAAATCTTTTTTAATGAATTGTCAACATACTCATTATATCATATTATTTATCTAAGCCAATATCCAGACACTGTTTGCTTCTTTTGTAATTTATCTAATTCTTATTCTTATTGGTATATTTATGCTAATCCATCTTTACTCGATCAAATTATCCAAATCTCCACTAATCAAATTATCTCTAATAACTTGTCTGACCTTAATATCTACTATAAACATAATTTAATTAACAAAATTCTTCATCATTTAACTTTTAACTCTTTATATACATTATCTAATACTTACTATCTCAATCTTATTCTTAAAAGACTTATTCCAAAGTCTCTTATATTAACAATTTAAAACTTCAAAATTTTATACAAAATAGTTTTTCAACTTATTATTGATATTCTTCTTAATATTAATGAACAATCATATAAACAACTATGGAAAACATCTATATCTATTTCTTTAATTAGAAAAATCACTAAAACAAATCCTGATCTCAATCAATTAACTAATCTTCAAGACCATCCATTCCAATTAGAAAACATACTTGTTCTCGAAGAGATTACATTTACTTATGTCTTTGTGAACTTCCTGATCAATTATATTCTTACTCAAATACATGTCCTTTTATTGATCAAGCAATTTGCAAAATTAACATTTGGTCCATCTTATGGATCAAATATAACATATCATCAAATTATATATTAAACATTCAAATCTAAGTGAGCTTTGATCATTTTAGTAGGTTTAGATTACAAATAAACTAGTCTGAGCTTTTATTCTTGCATGTAATTTTCAATTTATTTGTTTTGTACAAATAGTAGTAGCTATATAGTTAGCAGTTTAATGGTTAGCCCTGACTGCATATATTGGCCTTGACCATAGCATATATATATGTAACTATTTTAAATTAATAAAGATATAAGCAAGGCCTCACCTTAATACCAAAAAAAAAAATAATAATATAATGCACATAATGCAGAATGCCCATCTTTGGTGGTAATATATTTCAAAATGATTTATATAATGCTTATATCGGTGATCTAGGAATTGTAATATCGGTTAATAAAACATCAGATAACAAATCAAAAGGAATTTATGAAGCTTTACTGTATATAGCACCAGAATTTTTGCGAAGAAAACCGTTCACTAAATTATCAGATATTTATTCTTTTGGAATGATTATGTGGGAGATTTCTTCAGGAAATGTTATATTTTCAGACTATAAAGATGAAGATTCGAGCCTAGCTATAAAAATTTGTTGTGGATTAAGGCCAAATATCTTTAAAGGTACAGCAACATGCTATGCAAAACTTTTAAAAAAGTGTTGGGATAACAATCAAGAAAACCGCCCATCGGCTTTAGAAATCCACGAAACCATTTTAGATTAGAAAAATAAACAGGAATTTTGACTGAATTTTTAAAATCTGATAAAGAAATGGAAATCAAAGATAATGGCTTTAATAATATGGAAGATAGTACGACTCCTATTAGCAGATTCATTAGTTACATTGACAGGCAGCAATCACTTACTTCTAATTATAATATTTATCTTGAAGACGGATAACCTTTAATTGATTTTAAATTGCACACGAGTCTAAGGGTGCTCTCAAGCTTCAACTCGATGTGATTGGCTCGCGATCTTAATCGTGCACAACTATATAATTATATTTACGTATAATGAAACGAATAAGCAAATTAAGAAGCAATCAAAGTTTGCTCAAACGTTATTCTCTATGCGATTAGCTAATAAACGTGACGATGCTCATTTACTATAATCAATCAAAATAAGAACTGCAATTGATGCTTGAGCAATAAACCAATATTTTATCAAATGCCGTTATCACTACGTTTATTTCGTTGATATTCGGTCGTTGCATGATAAGGTTATTGATAAAGTTGCTTGTGCGATCTCTTTGAAAACGCAATTAATTGTAAATTTTGCCAAGCCAGGGATCAAAAAAAGGTGGTCGATTAATTAAAATATAATAAACTTTATTAAATTATGATGATTATTTAAATCTTCATTACGATGTTAAACACATTTGACCTCCTTAAAATATTTTCTGCTAAGTAAAATTTATTCTCCGACGCTTTTTGTCCCGTTGATTAAGAACGCCCTAAATTTTACGATTTTTGCATTATACCAGATCCTGATTTTTAATTGGCTAAATGATGGCATAAAACACGTGAATAGAAATCGATGTTCGTGAAAGGGAAATATTAATAACATTTATCGTTATGACGTTTAGGGCTTTGTAAACGTACGATGAAGTATGGCATGATTAAAAACGTATGATTTTTTCTAATGAATTATTAAAATTGATATCATAAAAGCCCCTTTCTTAAAGAATATCGTAAAGGCTTTAGTTACGTGACAATATTTATATTTCAAGTACTTTTTCTTCTCTATGTTGATGTAAACATTATATAAAACTTATGTATTTTTGTTGTTGTAAAGTTGCAAAAGAATAAGAACCTACGAGTTAATAAAACAAATCTATACTTTTAATAAAATATAAAATCTTTCACGACGTGGAAGACTTACACGTCATCCCTACCATTGTAACAGTACAGAATTTATGCGATTTTGATGATTCCCTGACCAATGCCTTTGTTATGATCAATTGAAACAAGAGTTGATTAGTTATTTTCTCAACGTGCAATGAGCGAGCATTTAAATAACAACTATTTCACTTAAATGGTAATGAGTTCATTGTTTATAACAGATAAGATTTAAGTACCTAAGATACGTATATACACGAAGATACCTCGACTAAGCCTCCATTCCTTCGGAAATAATATGTAAATCAAATCGAAAATCTCTCGAACTAGAATATCGGAGATAACTTTGTCTTAAAAAATATTCCGGATGATCGACCATACGTATCACTAACGCTAAGTGATTCAACTACTAGACTTCACGAAACGACGTATTTGAATACTAATTTTTATTTAAAGATAAAGGCAAACTTATGTGGGATGCTTTATGTTAACATAGAATTTTAATAGACACACTAGTATGTGACCTGTTGCTTGCGCTGCAAATTTCATAATTTCACAATAACGTGAAATTTATCAATAAGCCATTTCTATTAATAGATTATTATTTAAGTCCGATTTAAATGAAATTGTTTATACTGTATGCATTGATCTCAATACAGTAATGTAAACATAACGATAATGAAGTTCCCTTTTAATAAATACGTAGCTTTATTAGAATTAATTAAAAAGAAAAAAACATTTAAATATCTAAAGAAACAAAAAAATAAACCAGCCTTTCTACATACACAAACAGATTAATATAACCAACTATACTACATTCAAGTACCACAATTTTTTGATCCATACATAATTTACAACCAACAAAATTGAAAAAAGAAAAATAATAAATAAAAATTTTACAAAAATTATTAAGAAAAAAAAAATATAATAAATTAATTAATTGAAATTCTTTTCAATTTACTACCAAAACTACCAAAACGTTTCTTATTAGCAAATTGTAAACCCTTCTTTTTTACTGATACTAATGATTTTTTAGAACTATGATGAATTACATATCCTCCACCAGTTATCGTTACATCTTCATCAGGGGACGAATGTGCAATTCGCCTAGTATTTTGATAACCTGCTTTACATAATCCCGCAACAGAATCCGGTAGTTTGAGTTGTTTGATTTTTTCTTGCTGTTCGATCAATTGAAATACCATCCCCAGTTCAACGTGCCACTAATTGTTAAAAAAGTAGACTCGGTTAATAATCTCTAACTCTGAATGTATTTATATGATGTAACGGTAAAATATTACCTCTATGTGACAATGAAAAGCCCAAACACCAGGGTTATTGATAATATAACGGATTACAGCCCATCTATTTTTTTTTTTTTAAAAAAAAAAAGGATTAATTTCAGACTGTCAGACTGATATCAAATTCGTATAGAATAAAATACGTAGACAAATGATTACCCATTGCCAGGAACAGTAAGTGTGTCACGAAGAGGAGGATCGACCAAGTTATATTTACTAGTGACAGGATATTTCTCAGCACTACTTATTCCTATGATAAAGAAATTATGTCCATGCTAATTTACAATAAATAATAATAATAAACCACGAAGAAATAAGTTTTTTAATACAATAATTTTTAAAAAGCATAAAAAATATTAAAATGTAGTATACCAAATGGAATGGATGATCAGCACCATTTTTATCTAATAATTAAATAACAAATTAATTAGTAAATGAATTATATAATATGTCATGTCTGACGACCTATAAAATAATTTGTTATGATAATTACTGAATATAACAATTTCCACAGCACCACCTTCAGTATCATACCCATATGCATTAGCATTAATAGGAAATGCTGTTGCACTAATATTTTCGGCCATAATTTTCATAATCGAAGGATTTGTTATATCAGGAACCCAAGATTGACCATTAATATAAGCTTTGGTGGTATTTTTATCGTCAGGATGAAGCGTTACAGAAATATTAATTTGATCTGTAATGTTTTTAGGTGGAGCTACTTCCATGAATGGTTTTATTAAGTCAACATCAAGATCACGGCATGGAAATAGATTCTTAGACCATTCATCATCGACTTTTTTGGATTTTGGAAAAGTATCATTGGGAGCTCCTTCATATTGTAAGATTCCTGTTATATTCATATTATCATAAAGTGCTGAATGTGTATTTATCGTTGTTGGTGAATTCATTATACAATCTTGTGGTATGTCTGCACGTATCCAATAATTCCCAACTTCTTGAGATGCTTCAACGATAATAGAGAAACGTTGTCCAATATGAATCGGTAAAACGGTAACATTTATTGCTTTTACACTAACACCATCAACTTCAATGATTTGTAACATATGTTCATCGATAGAAAACCAGAAAAAGGCTTCAGCACTATTTTAAAAACATTTTAAAAACATAAAAATTATTAATATAAATAAATATTTTCATAATAATTCATAATAATTATATATTCAAATATATATATAATATATTGAATTTAATTTTACCTCATGTTAATTATACGAAATCGATATCTTTTACCCTTTTTTACACCATAAATCGCTGGCATATTATTAGAATCACATTTCGATCCATCCAAAGCTGCAGAACAATTATATTGACCTCTCCCAGTGATAAGACCAGCGTCTGGTATAGGCTATATAGAATTTCGCATGATAGTAACCGCAAATATTTAACTATATATTTTAAAAATATGATAAAAAAATAAAATTAAAAATACTAACATTGAATCCTTGATAACCTGGTGACAATCGCATTGCAACCAAGTCGGCTGATGGTGAATGATACCAATCCTCCACAGTAAGGACATATTCAAAATCATAGGAAGATAAATAAGGATCTGACGGATCATTAATAATAAAGGGTCCACGTACACCATCAACATATTGAGCGAGATAATGCGAATGCCTTTAAATTATCAAATAATATTAATATGAATATATGAATAATAATTTATAAAATGAAAATTTAAAAATGTATTTATAAATTTAAGCGTTTTATAAATTGTAACTTACCACCAATATGTTCCGACTTGATCTCCAACCGTGAAATCATAAACTAACGATGCTCCGGATAAAATGGGACATTGTGTCTGACTACAAAATATTTTTAAAATCATTAAAATTAGTATGCTGAACCATTGGATATATTATGCATATTAGGTATATTAGGTATATCTTAGGTATAATAAATGTTAAAAAAAAACTTACCCTCCAACTCCGTCATACCAATTAGATCCAATTTGGAATATTCCGTGCCAATGGATTGTAGTCGGATCTTTATGGTAGGTAGATTACAATTATTTTTATTGAAAATTATGAAAATATTTTAACTTTTTTTTTTACCTTCTAAATTATTTGTAACATTTATCCTAACTCTGTCCCCCCTGTTGATATGAATTAGTGGACCAGGATATTGACCTTTATAATAATAAATTTTAATATAAACATAACGCATATTAAATAAGTTAAATTTGAATTGAAAATTCCGGAAATTATCTTACCATTTACTGTCCAAACTTTTCGTGTATAGCCATCAGGGGCTAAATCTGTGTATGATAAAACAAAATTAATATCATGTGTAGTTGGTTCCGTGGTTGTGATTGGCGCTAACGGTTGAAAGAGTTCCATGTTAAAGTTTGGAGGGGTAAAACCACGTCTTCGTATTGTTGCTGCGTCAGACATTGCAAAGATGGTAAATAGTAGCAAGATATATAAAATTAACATTTTCGACAGACGTGTCTTCATTATTAAGTATTATTAATTATTATGAATATATAGATCTATTTTTCTCTTCTTTTTTTTTTAAATTAATTTATAAATTAAAGATTATTTTTTTACGTATTTTTACGTAAATTACGTAAAACGTAAAAATGTAAAGATTTAAATGTAGAATAGCTTTGTATTAAGGCCCTTACAAGATTAAAATTTTACCCTTTTTATACTTTCCAACAAGCAGTTATTGAGAAGCCAGTAACAATATATGTTCAATTGCCATCCCAACAACTTTACTCAGCCTTCTATTTAGGTGGTAATAAACATTTTCTTCGCTTCCTATATTTTAATATATTTTATAATATATTTTATAATATATATTTTAAACTTGAAAAAAAAGGTTTGCGCGCCTTTATTGTGTGACAGAATTCGCCACGAAAATCTCAAAGTTTTATTTATATTAAATTTATTCTTCTTTATTGACATTGAAATTCACAAAAAAAGTTAATAAATAAACATAAAAAACATAAATAAAAACGCGAATCAACATTTTTTAATCTATTGTTTATATTATATCTTTCACTATATCTTTATAAGGCAACAGTAATTTTATATGTATACAAGTTTCAAGATTTTATCGTAGATCATCGGGATTTTTTTTTCTCAATTCACTATATCGGAAGTTTACAAAGTTTAATTTTTTCTACCAATAACAACAATAGTAAAAATTCCAAGAAGATCACAAAAGCCTTGGTTAAAAAGCTTACGATTTTTAAACAAAAAAAAGATTGCTTAGCTAGTGGCGAAGGATTCCGAAATCGATCAACAAGAACTTTAAAATTTTGGATAAGAAAAGTTTATATGATTTTCACTTTTCTCTGTGTAAAAAAAAAAAATTAAGTTACGAATTGCAACTTCAAAAAGACGATCAAAATCTACGGTCCGCAATCTTTTGTGGCGTAACGGGTGCGTATGGAAATTTCGGGAGATCATGAATCTGCCGATCGATCGATCGTCAAGATCAATTATGTTAAGTTTCAAGTTTTTTTTTTTTTAAAAAAAAAAAATCTCTCAAATCGTCTTTTTTTTCATTTGAAATCGGCAAATTATATTTTAAGCTATTTATAAATTAATAAATTGATGAAAATTATTTTATAAATAACGGAACTACGGAAAAAAATTGCGTCACGCGGTAATTACCACGTTAACGTTTTTGTCACGTCGATGTAGCCAGATAGCAAGTGAGATCGACCCTAAGCATATTTTCATTTCTTTCATCTCTCTTTAAAAATATACTGAGGCTGAATAGTGCCGTTAAAAAAAAAAAAAAAAAAAAACATATATAAATTTATTAGATTAGAGCAATAAATATAAATTTATTGCACCAAAGTTTGAAGTTGTTATGTACATCAACACCTTTCTTCAGAATTTTAACTAAGCCCAAGATAACAAATTTAGTAAAGAGCGTAAAAAGAGAGAACGAAAAATCATATACCTAAAGATTATATAAATTGCAAAGCCTCACAAAAGATTTGTTTGCGCAAATTTCGCGAGTCTCACAAAGGGATTTCCTCATAATAAGATTTGTTTGCGTAAATTTCGCGAGTCTCACAAAAAAAAAAAAGATTTCCTCTCCCTCAATAAAAAAGATTTGTTTGCGTAAATTTCGCGAATTTTAACAAAAAGATTTACTTGAGTAAATTTTGCGAGTCTCACGCTCAAAAGATTTACTTGAGCAAATTTTGCGAGTCTAACACACTAAGGATTTACTTGAGCAAATTTTGCGAGCCTTATAAAAGATTTTTTTTTATGCCAAATTTCGCGAGCCTCACAAAAGATTTTTTATTCGCAAATTTCGTAAGTGGTTGATAATTTCAATCAGAATTAAGTTCTTAACTTATCAAAGTGAAATGAATAACGTTCTCGTTCAATTGAAACAATACCGTAAAAAACTCTAAATAACGACCACGGGCGTTATTTCGAGGTTCGGCCCGAATTAAGCTTAACTTAGGCCGGAATTTGTAATTTCATAGCTGTCCTTAAAATTGGTAAAACTAAATATAATAGCCCATGAAGAAACTTTATAAAGTATAAAATTAATTCACTCGCAGCTCTATCAAAATCACCACTTTTTCCATAGTTTATGTATAAAATATATATGATTCTTTCAATCAATTTGCTTCAAATGCTATACTTTATGTAGATCTCGTAATTTTTTTTTTTCATTGCAATTTATAGAATGCCAAGAACAAACACCGTCCACAAATTAAGTTAAACGACTTGATTATTATACAATTTGTAAAATTTATTAAATTTACTCATAAATTATCACAACCATAGTTAGAAGCACAACACATGTTAGTTAAGTGGGCATTTGAATCTTTGATTCCTAATAGGGTAGTAACTTTTTAAATAAAATCAAAATATGCCTAAGGTAAGTGATTAATTAGATAATTTAAGTTTTTACGATGTTTCAGTTGTGGTGATGCAAGTGACGTTGTAAACGTTTTTAATCAGTCATTAAAAAAATTCTAGGTCATGTGTATGACATTAATTGCACCAAAAAGAGTACATTAATTAGCAAGGAATTTTTATTTTATCTAATAATTATTCATTATTATAAAGCTAAGTTCTAGTTTTAGTTCAACTTCAGATTTTTAACAAAAAAAAAACCAAAACTCGTCATGCTTATAGATTTTTTAAAAAAATATAAAAAATAAGAGAAATCAAAATTATAATTGAAACTCTGTAGATTAAATTAAAAGTAATTATAATTAAAAGAATTGTTTATTTGTAAAGGCATTTGTTATTGAGTATATTCTATCAAATACATGTTCTAATGTGTTCAGAACTGAATAGCTAAGATAGATTCCAAAAATTAAAGGATTACAATAAGGATCACAATAAGGTATCCTGGTTGCAATAAAAATTAACATCATGAATATAACAAAAAATTTTTATGGATTCGTGATTTATTGGCCATTGTTATTTTGTTAAAAAATTAAGATTTTACTATGTAGAAACTTGATGAATTAAACTACTTAACATATATATTTATTTGATCAGGTATACTAGATTTTTAAATCTGTATCAACATATTTTTCCAACTTATGAAAAGTTATTATATACATAGCCCAAGTTTATAAATTAATAACAGTAGTTTAAATTTATTTCCCTAAATTTGGGTTTAACGTATAAACATAATATTATACCAGAATCTTAAAAAAAATTCAATTCAAAAATCCATCGAATTATATGTTACTGTATTTAGCATACTTCTGTACTTAGAATCAATCAATTTAAATATTAAAATTAATAATAAGTGTTTGCTGATCAATATAGCTAATGAATTTGCTAGTATGAAATGTACTATCATAAATTTTGTTAAAGCCATTATCTTTGATTTCTACTTCTTCATCAGACTTTAAAAATTCAGTTAAAGTTTCTGCATTATTTTTCTAGTCTAAAATGGTTTCGTGAATTTCCAAAGCTGATGGCTAATTTTCTGGATTTTTATTCCAACACTTTTTTAAAAGTTCTGCATAGCATGTGACTATCCCTTTAATAATATTCGGCCTTAATCTGTTAATCAAATTTTTGTAGCTAATGTTTGTTCATTATCTTTATAGTCTGAAAATATAACATTTCCTGAAGAAATCTCCTATATAACATTTCAAAAGAATAAATATCGGATACTTTTGTGAATGGTTTTTCTTGCAAAACTTCTGGTGCTATATACAGTAAGGCTTTATAAATTTCTTTTGATTTTTTGCCCGATGTTTTATTAACTGATATTGTAATTTCTAAATCACTGATATAAGCATTATATAAATTATTTTGAAATATATTACCACTATGTAAATCACAATAAATAATATTATTCGAATGAATTAATTGAAAATTGAATGCAATTAAGATAATAATTTTAATTTTTCTTCCATTTCATTTTTGCAACTTCATAAAAATTTTTATATAAAGATCTCATTTCTGCATATTGCATAACTAAAATATAATCATTTGTGCTTTCATCTTTTGATATTCTATAATATTGTAAAAATGTGAGGTTTTTAGTTCCAATTTTTGATATGCTATTAACTTTAAAATTATAAATATTAATGACAGAATAGCAACAACTAAACTATTAAACTCAAGTTACCTCTTTTATAAGTTCTTTACAACTATTTTTGATTCATAAAATAATTTAAATGCAATGAGTCAAGGTGTAAGAATATCATTTGTACTTTTGCGATTTCAATAAGCACCATATACAGTTGCAAACCCACCTTTTCTAATTTTTTCTACAAATTTTAATTCATCAAATGGAATCCATGATATTACTAAATTCTTGTCAAATAATAATCGCTTTAGAGAATCATCAAGATTTTTAGAATCAACTACCTTTTGAAATTTATTACTTTTGCTTTCTGCAGCCATTCGATAGCTTTTTCTTGATTAGGTAACGTTCCGTATCCATTTCGATAGCATAGTCCAACTTCATATTGTCCACTGTAATCACAATTTTCAGCAGATTTTAAATACCACTCAAATGCCTTTTTTTCATCCTTGCATGTGCCAATGCCTTCATCATAGCATAATCCAACATTCAGTTGTCCTTTCGAACTGGTATCTTCAACAAATTTCAACTACTACTTAGGGGCATATGTCATTTTGATAGCAGAGTTCAATAGCATACTGTACAATAAAATTATCATTTTAGCATATTTTAACAAAAACTCAAATTTATTTTCATTCATAACTTTTAAATCAAAAAATATGCCAAATAATATTTTACATGTTTTAGAACAAAGTTTGAAAAGTAATAATTTATAAAATTGTTGTTATATCTTTTTTTTTTTTTTTTTATTGTTAAAGTTCCTATCTTGGGGATCAGTGTTTTTATTCAAGTATATTAGGACATAACATGCCACTAGGGGCTCACCTTACATTGGAGATTACAACTAGCTACATAT